ATTCCCTTGCCTCAGCTTTGCAGCAGTGTTCTGTATTTGGGATGTTTCGGGGTTCCTGGAACTCGATCCAGGAGTCGGTTCTCGTAATGGCTACTGACGCCGGTGTTCAGTGAGCGCAAATTTAGAAAACGGTGAATGAGAGGCCGATGAGGCTTTGTTGGTCAACCTTCGCGGTTTACCCGTCTACCACAAACTAGTTTCGTTCACATGCTCGGCTTTGTTCCGCTGCAGGGAGATGCACGGAGCTTAGGGTTGGATGGTGGAGCTTGTAGCCGCCATATCAGCTTCCGGGTTTAGGGCCTCTGGTTGGAATGGAAAAGCATGTCCATGACTTCCGGGGCGCTTGAAGAAGTGCTAGTGTGCGTTCCTGATAGTCGTCCTTCTTGGTGTGAATTGTGAAGTTCAAAGCTGCATTTGCTGTGGTGTATACCGTGTTTCCAGAATTTTCTCGCTTGGCAATCGCCACTGATTAATGCGACTGCATTGCCACAATACCATGTTGCGACACGGTCCAGAAGGTCAGGGGATGGAGTTTGGAGCACTATGCTTCAAAAACTACCCGCGCCGCCCAGGTGCACATGGCATTCGACCGACACGTGCTGTCAACGCATGATCACAAAGTCGCTTTCGCAGTAACGAACGCGTGTCTGCAGTGGAGGCTGCACATGTGAGATAAACAGGCGAAACGCCGGCCAGCTTGGACCACTCGAAGTCAGCATTAAAAATCGGAGAAACGGTAACACCATGCGCTAGTCCTGATGCTTTCGGGGAGTGCGTGGACAGCAACATGGACCTTTCCAGGGTGCCATCATGGACAGAGGAGGTGTAAGGATATAGACGTCCAGTATGGGTGGTGTTGGGGTCGTGGGGTGTGTCCAACAGCAACATTGAAATTACAGCCACCGTGGGTCAGGATTGAGAGAGTCCAGGCATCGAGGGAGCCGACGATGGTGACGCACTCGTTTGCCGTCGTGGCTTGACAATGCCACAGCCAAGCAGAATCCCTTCTCTGCGGCCAACAGGCACTAATTAATTAACAAGATAACATAAGCACAAGGCTCAGCTACAGATATCAGTCCAAGAATTATAACAAATTCAAGCTTTCTGATTGCAGAGTTCGCAGCATCCAGAAGTTCCAGAAGTGGAGCCTGGAGTGGAAGCCTGAACTTGTTCTGAGAAGCCGTTTGCGTTGCGCATTCGCGCTTGTTGATTGACATTGGACGCCGCTTGAACCGAAGTTTCGCCAGAGACACATGTGGGCTCTTAAAGCACATGGGCCAACAACATGGAGAACAGGGTCAGAGAAAAGGACTCCGCGGAAGAGTTCGATAAATTCAAGCGCATTCCGAGCTTCAGATGTGCACTTAATATACCTGTTCAGAAGACGCGCTGAGACCCCTGCGAGGTACTGGTGCTATTTTCTCGTTGTTGTCCTATGGTCCTTCCTTGGAACGGTCACAATCGGCCTGATCACATGCCAGGCTCTTAGAGTCTGCCATAGATGTTGTAGCTCGTGCTGACTAGCTCCAGCAAAGCAGCCCAGGTGCTGTGGCCATGATTCTCGTCGGCGGGAAGACGACATAGCAGGCTCGCACTTCTAGCAAGGGATGGTAACAGCAAGGCATGCTCTAGTTCTTTCGCCCTGAGAGTCGAGGCAGGCTGGAGCAAACAAACGACCTGCTCGAAACGGGAACAGTCGCTGAACTAAACCTTGAAAGGTTGTTGCAGACGTTCATCGTGTGAAGTGGCGAACGCATCCAGCATACCTAACATGGGGAATAGGATGCTCACACACAGCACAGCTCGTAGAGAAATGCAGCACTGGGCAAGCAACACCGAGTAGTTGCGGTGTCATAAGTCTACACGATGCGAACTAGCCTGTGACTCCACATGACTCCACAGAGTTCAGAGGAAGCCTTGTATGTCTGAATTGAGAAGTCGACTTGTCAGCTCGAAATCCGCCGCATTGAGTTCCGATACATCCGGCTCGAGGCATGAAGACGAGGTTCTTTTGAGCCATTGTTGCCCAGCCCTTTACAAGAGGGCATGACGAATTGCGCCCCTTCCCTTGCACTGGCACTGTTATTGCATGCCACGGCGTCTCCTCCAGCAGCATTTCAGGAGGCATTACTCCAGCCTTATGCTGGGTACTGTGCACACCCGCCTTTAGCCCAGCAGGGTGCAATTGCTGGTCCACTTGCAGATGAAGTCCTGTCACGTGCACACATACATTTGGTGGGCGTGCAGGTGGTGTTTCGGCATGGCGCTAGAGATTTGTCTTCGGACAGAGCCTGTTTCGCAACTATGGAAGCAGTCTTTCGGAATTGTTCGGTGCAGCAGCTGGTTTCCTTCGAGACTGGGGAAAAGGAGAAAGAGGAAACACCAGCGCTGTTGCGAAAGATGATGGATGCATACCCTTCCATGGAAGAGAACATGCCTGGCTCTGGCTACATCTCACAAGCGGTTGGTTGTGGAAAAGGTGTGCTGTTGAATGATGCCATTCCACAGACCATAGCACTTGCCCATTCCATCGAGCAGAAGTATTTCCGCTCATTGCCATCGGCCCCGAGTCTTGACACAATCCGAATGTACTCCACAGGCAAGGAACGAACCCAGGCCACCCTCTTCCTGCTGCAAAAGCATCTCTTCAGGGACGAATCTGCCAAGGCCCGCTCATTTTATTCCCGTCCTGTCTCAAGCGATCCATGGGACTTGAATCAGCACTGTCCTCGTGTTGGACACATGCGCCATGCAAGACATTTCCAGACAGATCCACAGATAATTGAGCGTCGGTTTCCATCTTTTGCTCGCAGATGGAGGGACGTCGCAGGAACCGAATTTCAGGCAAGCTTCAAGGACTGCCTGCTGGTCGCTCAGTGTTCCGGACAGCAGGCCTTGCTCTTGCCGGAAGGTTTGCAGCCAAATTCGGAGCTGTTCAAGGAGGCTTTGACGATATCTTTGGAGCTCTTTCAGGAGCATTTCTCGAAAGACGATGCGACAGTCGAGCAGATGCAGCTCCTCGCTGCCCCGGCACTGCTCGAGCTGGACCAACTTCTCCAGCACCAAGCGGACGAAACCGACTCCGCAGCTTTCGCCTTGTGGGCCACACATGACACGACCATATTGGTAATGCTTGTGGCACTGGGCCTTTGGGATGGACAATGGCCTCCATATACAGACACCTTAGTGCTGGAAGTCTACAAAGAGCTTAAACAGCAGGGTAGTCAGCGCGGTGGCCGTGCTTTTGTACGGCTGCTCCATGGCTCAACTGTCTTGCATCTTCCATGGTGCAAGGTTCATGAAACGATTCCAGGGCTTTGTTCCGTGGAGTCCTTTTTGCCTCCAGCCATAGAGCGTTTTCGAGACATGAAAGCGTATCGACGTGCTTGCAATGCGAGCAACTTGTTTAGCGCTACTCCCGCTTTTCCTGTGGAGCAGAGCGTCACATGCGGATTACCATCGGCAGGAGTCCTGATGTTCTCTGTTTTGTCGTTCGTAGCCGGCTGCCAATTCAAAGCCTGGCAGAGGTCCAGGCCTGACTCAGAAGCAGATTATGTAGTGCTGTCGCCGCAGCCTCCATAGCCTCGAGCTAAAGGAAGCCACTCGAGGAGTCAGCACCTGATCGTTAATTTTGTGTACCCAGAAGACAATGCCTGGGTGCGGGACCGTGTTGACCACAACCGTCAACAACCGTTTGTGGCTGTGGATATCACGCATAAGCAGAGAGCGCCTGCCATGTGGGAAAGACTGAAGAGTGGAGCTGCGAGGGCAATCAAGTTAGCATGTTCAGAGCTCGAGACATCTTAATATTGATCCCCGATCGGCAATCCCCCTCCCTCTCCGGCCCTCCCCCCTCAAGGTCGTCCATGACAAGCAAAAACCAATCAAGAATAGAGTGTACTCGTAGTCTCTTAGTACTACTGGTACACTACACGCAACAATAGTGCCCATTGCAGTCCTCGTCAGACGGCGTCGCCTTTAATCATGGGCGGCTTTCTGCAACAACTGGTCCTGATTCGACGGCTAGCTCATAAGCAGCGCAGGCTGGTTTTGTTCATGAAAGTTTGACTGACCGACTGCTTCAGGCTGCGTTTGCCCGATTTGGTTCGCTTGGAGTTGCTGCAGCTGCTACAGGCATGAAGCTCAGTACTTGTTTTCTTTTTAACCAACAGGTGGCCATGCTCAACTACATGGTAGCACATCATCTGCCTGGTTAACTTAGCTTCAATGAGTCGCTATGCCAGCGCAGCTCTTGGGTTCACCACTGCAGAGCCGCATGAGCCCCTGCACATTCCTTCTGCTTGCACTGAGAGGCCGATGGCTGCCCCAGGCTTCTGAAGAGAGCCACAGGGTTGATTACAGACCGCTATTGCGGCTACGGGCTGCATCCCGCACGGATGTCACAGCGATGTCTTCTGAAGCTGGGTACGGTCAGACGGTCAGCAGGTACCACAGAATGTATGGAATGACTTGGAAGCCACCAACATCTGTGAGATTGTTTTGGTGTCTGTACCTGCTACCATTGGCATTGCAGGTTCTGGTGAGAGCACATCAGCAACACTGATCTTCGGTAGATTATTTGTTGAGTAGCAGGAGTTCATAAATCTGACCGTTCTTGTGAAAATCTCGGGGCCAAGGAACATCAGAAGATATAAGAGAATGGAGACTTTGCTTCAAATCTGTTATGGCACCCCAGTGCCCCGAACTGAAGTGCTCTCCACCCCTTGTTCTCATGGCTCGCGCCCCGAGATGCGCACTGTTCGCTGGCAAAAAGCGTGCCGGGCTGTCAAGGGCGGGGCCGAAGGGCTTCGTCTTAGCCTAGGACTAGTCTTTTGTGCGTCACAGCCTTCTTTGTCAACCTGGGTGGACCAAGGGAGAGCAAGCAGCCCTTTGAATCCGTGGTGCGAGATATAAGGCCACAGAAGCGTGCACAGGCGACGACTTGATTTCTCTTTCGAGCCGAAGATATTCCCATCCATGCCAAAGCAACGTGTCGTGCCATGGCCAGTATTGAGCATGCTGAGCCGCGCTGGAAGCTGAATCTTGCCTTGGCAGCCTGTGTTGCTTCACTGGGAGTGTTGCAACTATATCTTGGTACGAAGGACTCGCACGACAGATGCCAACCCGCTCACAGCCTCACAACTTTGCTCGTCCTCATTCTGAAACTCGAGCCCTAACTAATTCTCTAAGGAATCCCTGTCAGGATGATTGGCAAGCGACCATAGCCACAAGGTACATCTCGCTGAGACTTCCAGCTCCAGGCGCCGTGTCCCTGTCTTTTCACTTTCACTCAGCTATAGCACAAGCAACGTGGCAACGAACCAAACAGGCACGAAAGCACTGCTGCTTCGTGAAACCGTTTGAGCCGTGTTCGAACGAAGAGTCGAAGATTTGCACGGGACACAGCGTAGATGTGGTCGACAGAAGGATTTCAATCACCACCACAGAAAGATGTCAGTGACTGTCAGAGCCTCACTTAGAGAACACTCTGGCACTTACAGGGGTCCGCCAGCATTGAAGACTGGGTAAACTTAAGGAGTGGACGGATAATATGTAGTTGCCACCAGTAGGTTAACAGGGAGGGACACGGCCGGATGAAAGCTTTCAGTTGCTGGTTACGCAAAATATGCTGAGTCGAGGTGGCTGGTTGGTGACGACGACGACGACCATATCCACTCCGATGACGCTGACAATCATGACAGACTTGAGCACAACGAGTGCTCATCCCACAACCGACTTGCCGCCCGATGTTGCAGCTCCTGCGCTTGGCAGTCGGACTTGCTCGAAGACACGCATCATTGACCCGGCTGGTTGTGTTTCGAGCAGTCGCACCAATGAGTCACAAGCCTATGCAACTTACGGCGTAAAAGGGTTTTCAGATAAATACTTTAGCAGCCAATGCATAACCTGGGCTCGTCTGATCCGACGGGCAGACAGCGTACGACCCATTCTGTTTTTGCTGCCCGAAGAATTGGCAAGGCCGGCCAATGAGCTGGCAGTGAAAGAGTTGAATGAAGAGCTGACGAATGTCCAGTTGATCAAGGTGCCAAGTAACACAGTTAAAGTACCGCCTCAACATGTCCTCCTGATGAAAGAAGCACACAATTGCTGCGGGGACAAAGAGTTTTCGGTTTTGGCACTGTGGACATTACCTTATGATCGTGTCTTGTACATGGAGACCGACACCAGGCTCTTGAGCAACGTGGACGAGCTTTTCGATTGCGATGTAGATTTCATGGCGACGATTGGGCCCTGGAGCCCTGTAAATGGAGGTGTATTTCTCTTGCGACCTCGCATGTCCACCTTCCAGGCAATGCAGAAGCATCTGGAAAGTACGAAATACAATCACGAGACTTGCTGGGGCGGATCCGGGTGCCCGAAGCCCTTCAAGCCAGGCTGGAAGCGTGGGTTCGGGAGTGAGGGCCCTCAAGGCTTTCTGGAGTATTATTTCTTTTGTCTGGGCGAGCTGAATTCTGAATCCAGCGCCAAGATGGACATGGGCACGTACAACTACCAGGTTTGTGGCCAAGCAATCGCAGATCTGCGTAAGCTAGAGCCTCGCCTCTGGAAGGGTTGCCGCTCTCCTGCGAACACGAAGATCCTCCACAAATGTGTTGCTGGGATAGAGAAAGCATAGCTGCTTTTTTTTCTCAATCACTCTTTATGTTATCCTATCATCGGTTAGGTTGGTCTGGGATAGGAGGGTCACATACATGTGATCTGCAGCCTGTTCAGGATTTGTTGAATGAGAGATCTTCCCGTGGCGATTTTGGGTCGAGGCGATCGCCTCGAAGGTCCGGGCGAATGGGCTCAGTTCCAGGGCCTGGGATCTGTGCAATGGCTGGTCGGGGTCCGGACGTCTGGGAGAGCCAAGCTCAGGGTCAGGGCCGCCAGGGCTATCGCCGTGATCGCGGCCAGGGCGATGGATATGGAGGCGGATATGGTGGCGGTCGCCGTCGCAATGACGATCGTTGCTGTGGAGAGGGGTGCCAGTTCCCACAAGCAGCTCGCAACCCCTGCGAAGTTCGCCTCCTTCAGAACTTGCAGCCGATCGCCGAGTGCTCCTTCAGAACCTGCAGCCGATCGCCGAGTGTGAGGACAACGATCGAAAGACATCCATCATCATGGTGCATACCCGGGACGATCGCATTGTCTCGCCTTTTCACGCATGGTTGGTGAGAGAGATCATGACGAATTCCTCTAATTCGATCAATGTTTTCACTGAAAGGGATCAGGTGATGCCACCTCGGTCAGATTTTCACTTGTCCCTATTCGCCAACTACACGCTCGATGGAGTTAAGGCAGCTGTGGCGAAAAAATCGGTCGATTCGCAGACAGGAGCTCCCTGTGGCGGCTGGGATCGAGCCACAGCCAATGCTCGCAGTCACGTGGCTTTTAGCACTTTTCGCGGCCGGTCACGGACGTGAAGATCTACAACGGGAACGAGATCCTGTTCCACTGGATCTTTCGCGGGTTCCGCGCAGACACTGACCTCTCGGTCGATCGTACAGTCTATCCGGACACGGATATTTTGTTCCTGAGCTAGCCGTGCGGCAGATCTTCGAACGTCAGAAGCTCCCTGAAGACGCTGGCGGAGAAAGGCATGCTGTCGGTCGAAAGACTGGCCATGCTCGGCAACACCATGACTGCGGTCAAGGCTACACTCAAAGCGATCGTTGGTGACGGCACCAAGTTCGGTGCGGACGCTCCTTATCAAGAGCTCTGTTTGCGGTCTGGAACTCAGCTTCTACTCTGAAGAACACGTCGCCACTCGGCGAGCTAAGAAGGAAGAGGATCCGCCTTGTAAACCGACATCCCGACGTCATCCGCACCTACATGCGGGAGCCACACCGCAAGTTCGTCGAAAGGATCCATGGGGACTAGATGGTGCATGGAGCGGTCGAGTTCTACGAGGTAGCAGAGATGCGCCCGTGTTCTGATCACGTGGTCTCCACGTCTGAGTTCTCCAAAACCTCGGACGATCTCTTACGGGTCGTACAACTGGACAACTGAGTCTCCGTTACCTCTGAAAACAGTGTCATGGATCGATTTCACGTTTTCTTTGTCGCGCTCGCGTACCTCAACATTCGCGATGATGCAGGGCCCTTCAAGTATATCTCTCGGAACTTGAGGAGTGGCGGCACGAGAACAGAGGTCTTTCTCAGCTCCTGGCTGCCGACTCCCTGATCAGGAAGAAAGTCACAAGTTCTCCAACGACAAGCGACGGGGCTTCCCTATTCCCTACTGTCCCCTCGGCGCTCAAGAGGTACTGAACAACCACAAGTCACAAGCAGCTCTGCAATGACACTCGCTCGACGGCCGAGCTCGACAAGTTCAAGCAGCTTGAGCACGACCCTGCGGCTCCGCCCAAGAGGCCACGTCCTTCTTCTCCTCCTCCGACCCCGCCGCCAACCTCCGAAGCTCGCGCGCAGAAGAACCGCGCCCGCCGGGACAAGCAAAAGGCAAAAGGCTCTTCTTAAGCAAGCTCGAGAGCTGGCGAAGGACACAAGGACAAGTCGTCCAAGCAGCCATCGCCAGGAACAGGCTGCTTTGCTCGCGGCCTCCGGCCTCCAGCGGCCACCAGCTCAAACGTGGCGCGGCCAAACCGGTTTTGGGGATCGAGTGCAAGCCTGGGTCGCTGTTCAATGGTCTCTGCAGATCCTGCATCCCCTCACAGCTCAGCCAGATCTTTCCAGCGAGCTCATCGCTCTCGGCCGCGCTTTGGTCCATCGCCGTTTTCGGCGTCTGGAATACTGTACTGGAAAGAGCGTGCACTGGCCCTCATGGAGGCCTCCGATCGCGTGCGGTTTCAGATCCAGCTTTTCGTCATCTTCTCCGAGGAGGTCCAGATTATGCTGATCTGCAACTTGGTTCTTTTGCTCACGTCAAGCTCTATGATGAGATCTTGCACGCCGCTGGATGTGATGATCACATCCTATGCGAAGGTCTTCGTGCAGGTTTCCCGATCGTGGGAGAAATCCAGCGCCCGGGCCACTGGCCTCCCTACCCGAAGCCACAGCATTCAAGTTCATGAAGCTGGAGCGAGGGCCCGGGAGTTCCGCAAGAAGATCTTTCGGCGTTGCACTTCCAGTTTCGGACAATATGCGATCGCTTTGGAAATCTACGATGGGAGATGTCGCCGAGGGTTCTTCTGTCGGTCCTTTTCAGGACGAGGGTGTGGTCGCCCCATTAACTTGGGATGCTCCGACTGGATCCCGACACAGCGATTCGAGGTCGTGCAGAAGAACAAGGTCCGTGGATGTGACAGATCAACAAGACGGCCGTGATCACGGCAAAGCTCCAGTTGCCCTCCACGGACCTGAACGTCGCACTTCTGCGTGAGCTGCACACTCGTGCTGGCTGGCGATCGTCCGCTACAAGGCTGGGTCTTGGACGAGAGGATGGCTTATCGGCAACTTCCGATTCTACCCGGGCATCGGAAGTTCTGTGTTATCTGCCTTAAAGATCCATCGGACGATCGTCCCAAGTACGTCGTCATGATCGGTCATTCTTTTGCTTTGGTCCCGGCGGTGTACAATTACAACCGCCATTCGGTAACCTTGAACGATGTGTTCACACGCTTGTTCGAGATGGTGTCGTTCAACTTCTATGACGAAAAATAATATGGCATCGAGACAGATCTCACAGCTCCGTCGGCCGAGGTCGTAGGCGAGACGATCCATTTTCTGTTGGGAGCATCTGTTGAACAAAATAAGCTTCAGCATTCAACCTCCCCGTGATCTTGGGCGTTACCTTCAACCTCGAAGAATTCCTCCTGGAGATCAAGGAGGAGAGGAAGTCTGAACTGAGTCTGAACTTATCGGTTCGATCGACGCGATCCTCGAAGCTGGCACTCTGGATCCTCAGACTGCTGGAAAGCTCAAAGGGAAACTCATGTTTGGATCCGACCAGCTCTGGGGCAAGGTGGAGCAAGCTTTCTTTCGCCTCCTATCGGAGCGACAGTACTCGACGATCGCATGGAGCTCAATGATACCTTCAAGCGCTCGCTTCTTTACTGGCGAGGTCTACTTGAAGGGGGACCTCCACGAGAGATCTCACTACGGGCTCCCAAGAGAGCTGATGTGGTGATCTTTACGGATGGTTTCACTCCAGAGCACCGTAAAACTGAGAGTTCGCCGCGGTGATCCCCGAGGAGATCTCGAAGAAGTGGATGCCGAGGAAGACACAGATCGTTCCGATTGAGATGATCGCCCCAGTTTTAGCTCACGAAACTTTTTTGGGAGCGAGCATCGAATTAATTTCTTCATCGATGCCGATTGGCCGTCTCGAGATCATCTTGAGATCGGCGAGACGGCCGGTTGGCAGACAGTGATGTGCTCTTGCCTTGCTGCGTTTGCATGCAAAAGTTTGTGGGCCTGGGAGATGCTCGGGTCACCGACTGCTCGGTCCAACATGTCACTACTGACTACTTCGCTCGGAGGTGTCGGTGGTTGGGGTCGCCGGTCGGGACTCTCACTCTCGTTCGTTCGTGTGATGCTCGATGTGCCGCTCGACCCCATGCCAGAATGGTCTAAAATGTGTTCCATGCCACTCTGTGCTCTTGGCTGCTGATCAGTGAGTTTTCTCGAACGTACATCCGGGTAGTGTGCTGTTTGTCTTTCTGTTGTTTTTTCGCTGAAGCAGGCGAAGCAGCATGTTGAAAGCTTGAGTTTCAAAGCAGCCGTCTCTAAATTCCCGGCCGCTATGCCACTAAGGTTGGCCGCGACTGCAATCGCTTTCAAGAACGCATGTCCAAGCTCCTGTCTGCGTCGACACCGCCCGTGGCGAAAAATGGTGATTTCAGCATGCTTGCTTGTCAGTTCTAGAACAGCCAGGACAACCTGATGGTTTAGCCCTATGCCCGACAATGCACCCATGCTGGTTTTGGAATGCTATTCACTGAGCAGGGTTGCAAGGGGAAGATCCAAGACAAATGCATGTGGCAGCCATGCGGACCCGAAACAGGGCAGGGGCCTACGATGCGCGGACGACCTTAGTAAGAGCAGTAGTAGTGGTAGTGGTAGTGCGTGGAGCCAGCCGTAGCAGCTGGTGGTGTTGTCGTTGTCGCTGTGGCGGGCGGCAGCGGCGGCGGTGGTGGGTGGTGGTGGTGGTGGTGGCGGCGGTGGCGTTGGCGGTGGCGTTGGCGGTGGCGTTGGCGGTGGCGTTGGCGGTGGCGTTGGTGGTGGTGGTGGCGGCGCTGGTGGAGGTGGAGGCCGTGATTGTCGTCGTCGTCGTCGTCGCCTTAGTCGTAGCTGGTAGTCGTAGATGTCCGCACAGCCCCAGAAGCATTGCAGCACTTGCAAGTTCAGCACGCCAGGCTGTTTTTTTTCTCTACTCAGCACAGTAAAATTTTAGTTCTTTTGAACCGCCTGTTGCAAGCCACAGTGTTTAGTGAAGGCCTCAAAAGTATTGCCTTGTGCGGATGATCATAGGAGCTACAGAAGGCAATGCCACATCGAGGACCATTCAGAAACTCATCATTAGTTGCTGCCGCTGCTGCTACTGCTACTCCTGCCGTATTGCCCAAAACCACCACTACTACTAGCACTACTGCTGCTGCTGCTGCTACTACTACTACTACTACTACTACTACATCTACTACTACTACTACTACTACTACACCTACTACTACACCT